CAGAGCGTTAGGTCTGGCTTGTTTAGAGGCTGGTCCCGCAGGTCTGGTCGGCTGGCAGGCACCTCTTCACTTGTCTCGAGGCAGTCGTGGTCTGGTTCTCCCAGCTCAGCAGGAAGGAACGTAGCTGGGTTTCTTCACTGAACAGTGCTGACTTTCACTCGGCGGTTCTCATGGAGAAGTCCCTGGTACTGTGTCAGTCTCGGGTTGGAGAGCCATTTGTGTCCTTGTCCAGCCAAAAGGCTGGATACCATGTGGGGAACAAATACGTTGATCTCTTGCCCAAGTGTTAGTTTGTCTGCCGCCTGTAAGAGAGTGACAGCTGCAGCTATGGCCCTCAGGCAGGGTGGCCAGCCTGCTGCCACACTGTCCAGTTGTTTAGACAGGTACGCAACTGGCCTTTGCCATGGTCCCATTTGCTGGGTAAGGACCCCTAATGCTCTTTTCTCCTTTTCGTGTGTGTAGAGGTCGAAAGGTAGTCGGCAGCCCTAGGGCCGGCACGCACCCAAGATGATCTGTTATGCCCTGGAGGGCTTTCTCCTGTTCGGCTTCCCATAAGAGGGGTGCTGTGTCTGGGCTTTCAGCACTCAGTATAGTGGTTTGGCTAACGCCACATACCCCGGTATCCAGATTCGGCAGAACCCGGCCTGCCCTAGGAACTCTCAAAGTTCCCTCCGTGTGGCTGGGGTGGGTAGGGCCATTATGACTTGCCTCCTTCCTTGGCCCAGGACCCGTTTCCCTTGGGAAATGAGGAATCCCAGATATTTTACCTGGGCCTGACACATTTGTGCTTTCTTCCACGAGGCCTGGTACCCTGCCTGTTAATAGTTCAAGGAGCTGACAGGTACTTACTTCCCAGCACCAGTCCAGTGTAAGGGCGGCTAGCAGGAGGTCATCTATATATTACAGCAGCACTAGGTTCATTTCTTTGTCAGTAAACGGTTTTCTTTTTTTAATGTAATTTTATTTTTTTATTCTCACCTGAGGACATCTTCTCATTTTTTGTTCAGATAGAGTGGGAGGGAGAGAGAGAGAAACATTGACATGAAAGGGACACATCAAGTGGCTGCCTCCCACAGGACCCAACCAGGGCCGGGGACAAACCGCAACCAAGGCACGCGCCCCCAGCAAGAACCAAACCCGGGTCTCTCTGGACTGCAGGCCAACGCTCTAACCGCTGAGCCAAACTGGCCAGGGCTGTAAACAGTTTTAAGTCTCTAGCCAGGACCTCTCCGAAGAGAGTAGGTGAATTCTTAAATCCTTGTAGTAACCTAGTCCAGGTCAGTTGGATTTTTGCCGCAGTGTGGGGGTCTTCACATTCGAAAGCAAAGAGTGGTTGGCTCGCCTTTGCAAATCAAGGCATCCTTCAAGTCCAAACAGAAAGGCATCCTTCAAGTCCAAACAGAAAAAGCATCCTTCAAGTCCAAACAGAAAAGGCATCCTTCAAGTCCAAACAGGTGAACCAGGGCACCCCCGGCGGGAGTTGGCTGAGGAGCGTGTATGGGTTTCGGTACCGTGGGGTGCACTGCAATGGCTGCCTCATTCACTGCTCGCAGGTCCTGTACTGGCCTGTACCCGCTCCCATCTGGCTTCTTTACTGGCAGCAAGGGAGTGTTTCATGGGGACTGGCATGAGACAAGTATACCTTCCCTCAGATGCTTCTGGATTATCTCTGCGATGCCCAGCCGGGCCTTCCTGGGGATGGGGTACTGACGGATCTACCTTGGGCCAGCTCCCAGCTTCAGTTCTATAACTATAGGCAGGTGGTTCCCTGCTAATCCTGGTGGGTTGTCTTCTGCCCAGACCTTTGGGTATTTCTCTCGCAGGTCAACCCCTCTTCTTTCTGTGGGCTCCTGTTGGCCTTCCTCTGCCTCTTTATATAGTCGATATTCCTCCTCCCGGGGAACTAGGATTGCTACGAGGTGTGGGGTGCCAACTTGTAGGTAAGCCTCTCCTGACGGGCGAAAGGAGATCTGGACTCCCAGCTTAGAAAGCAGGTCGCGGCCCAGTTGTGGAAGTGGGCACTCCGGCATGTACAGGAATTCATGCTTTACCTGGTGGCCCCATTCTACAGTTCGGGCTTGGCAAAACTGTTTGGGGCCACTGGGCTGTCCGGTGGCGCCAACGATGGAAATTTCACGCCCTGAGGGAGGTGCGACTGCAGTTGTTATCACTGAATGTTCTGCTCCAGTATCCACCATACGGGAGGGTTTGGCCCCTACTGTTATTTGGACCATGGGCTCATGGGGGCCTAGGTATAGTGAGCCTGGTCTCCCTTAGTCCGAGTCTAGGCCTGCCAGACTAAGGATGGTAGGCGCCTGGGTCTCAGGTCCCGATTGCCTATTGGCCTGCCTTTTCTTCTTTCGGTCGGGACATTCCCTTTTCCAGTGTCCCCTTTCTTTGCAGTAGGCACATTGGTCTGACTCTACACTCCAGTGTGTGGACTTGTTCTTCCTCTCTGGCTGTTGGCCTTTTCTGGGTGGCAGGGGCTTTCCCAGTGCAGCCACTAGGAGAGCTGCCTTTTTCTCCATTCTTTTTCGAGCCTCCCGCTCGGCTGCCTCCTCTGTTATTGTATATCTTGCTGGCAATTTCTATTAGTTGGGTTATGTTCATCCTGGCAAAGCCCTCGAGCTTCTGAAGTTTTTTTCTGATGTCTGAGGTTGACTGGGAGATGAGCACCGTGTTGACCATTCTCTGGTTGTCTGGCCCCTCGGGATCAAACAGGGTGTATATCTGATAGGCCTCACACAGACGCTCGTAAAAATCCCTGGGGCATTCATCAGCTCACTGAGTTATATTAGCTACCTTTGACATGTTAGTAGGCTGCCAGGCCCCTGCTCGGATTCTGCGGAGGAGGGCATCCCTGTATCTCTGGAGTGCGGCCCTACTTTCTTCTGAGTTGTGGTCCCATTGAGGTTGGGCCTCAGGTGCTGCTGCTCTTGCCCATTGGACTGGATCTCATGTGCCCACTGGAGCTGTGGTTTCTAGATATTGGTGGGCCTCCTGGAGGATGCACCTTTGTTCCTCTGTTAAACAACGTGAGGAGCAGCTGCTGGCAACCATACCAGGTGGGATTGCATGATGTACTCCATGAGGTCGAAAAGGGCCTGGGGTTTCTCTGAGCAGAACGGAGTATGGTGTTTCCGGTTTAAGAGGTCAGTGGTGGTGAAGGGCTGGTAATAAACGATGGTCCATCCTGGCTGCTCAGTACCATCTGGCCCAATTTGCGGTGGGGCCTGGGTCTCCCTGAGGGGCATCTGGAATGGCTGCCGCTGTTGAAACCTTGTCAAGACTGGGGAGGCTGGGGGCGCTAGCAGAACAGATGCTGGCAAGACAGATGGTGGTGGAGTTTCGATTTAGGGAGCCCGGGGGACTGTCTCAGGTGCATATGGGGGGGGGGTAAATTGACGAGTGGTTCTTCTTCTTGGTCGCCTTTGAAAATGGGGGTCGGCGTGCTTCCTTAGATTGAGCTATGAGGACACAGGCTGGGACTGTCTGCATTGGGCGATAGCAGCACGAGCGTGAGGTCTTCCTTTTTGTTCCAGCTATCCCTGCCAATTTTGACTTCTATCCTGCACAGCACTGGAGCCAATTCGGCATGTCCTGAACTAGTTCCTGCCACCTGTCTATGTAGACATACTGGTCTGGGTGCCCTGGCCTCCCTGTCACTGTCAGATGTATTGCGCATATGATCCCTAAATTGAGGGATCCCTCAGGGGGCCAGCCCACCCCAAAAGTAGGCCATTCTCAGATCCTGGCCCCAGAACCGATCAAAGTTCTGTACCATGCAGTCAAGTATTGTTGACGGACCTCCTCCTGTGGTTTCCCTCCTGAAACGGGTAGACAGACAAGGGGTGGGGTTTTCCGATCACCGGCCTGGCCACTCCCCTTGCGGGGACTTAGGTGCCTCTTAGCTTTGGCAGGTCAGTATAAGCCCCTGACTTGGATCAGGATCAGGTTCGCAGGGAGGGACTGTGTCCCCCAGAACCTGATACTGCCCTTAGCCGTATGAGGTCACCACAGAACCACAGGTGGGGGCCCACTCAGACTCCCTAGGCTGGTGGAGTTGCACAGACATTCACACTCACTCTCACACTGACAGTCGAATGAGTTTAAACATTCCCTCCCATTGGGGCTTGCTCTACCTGGAGGCTGGAGGGCCTGAAAGGTGATCAGTCTCTCCTTCCACCTCAAGGGTGGGTCTATACTCTGGCTCCTGGTCCCTGGGGCACTCACCAGTCCTGAAGTTGCACAGCCCCCGAAACTGAACCCATGCATTTCCTCTGGCAGCCCAGGTGGGGTGTGAACCTCACCTGCAGCTGGCAGCGGAGCCCCGGATGGGTAAGGACCCAAAATAACCAGGTCAGGCGCTTCCCTCTGTCACAGGGCTCCATGCAGTGCCCGCAGGGCCACCTCACCCGTGGCAATCACCTGCTTGTGTGAGTCATTTCCCGGTCAGGTAACCAAAATGTAAGGGAAAAGACTCAGACCTAACACCAGAGGAAGCGAAGTGGTTCCTTTATTCACCCATGCGGACCCAGAGGAGGCAGTCTCCAAATTCTGGGGCCCGAGCTGCAGGGCATGCCTAGCTTTATAGCAGCCTGGGCAGGGCATCATTCTTTGGCGGGAAAGAGGTAAGCAGCTTACAGGGGCAGGAAGCGAAAAGGTCATGTTTTTTCCTGGGTGCTTGTTTTCCTAAAACGGCGGCTTACTTCCTCTATCATTACAAGGGCATTTCTATATTTTACCATCTTCTGTCTCCTGATCTACACACTTTACCATGAAAAAAAACCTCCTGTGAAATACAAACCATCCTCCGACTCACTATCTGCCCTCTGCCTCAAAAACCCTCATTAAAGCGCCCACCCGCATTAAAGGGCACCTCCTCCAGATCCCTACACTGCGGGGTCAGCTGCCTGCCGCAGCCCACTCCCCCCAAGAGCACCCCCTCCCCCAGGATCGCCAGCCCGGCCCGCGCACCCACCGCTCTCTCCGCCTCTCACCTCCGCCGTCACTCCTCCTCGCGAACGGTTCAACTGCCGAAACTCTAGCCCCGCCCCAGCATCCGGCTTTTTCACTTCTGATTGGCTCTTGTTTACTCACAGACAAATTCCTATTAGTTAAACAGACGCCCGTCTCTTTGTCCCGCCCCTGAGAAGAACCCGCCCCCTAAATCTTGCAATTGGCCAACTCCGAAGAGAGGTTTCGCAACGGGTCGGTTCATCAGTCTCCTTTCCAATCACTACTGGCTAATCATTACTGTCGGTCATACAAAGAGGTTTGTTCCTTTGATCGGGAAGAAAATCCCGGAAATAGCCCCTTGACACCGCCCATCACCCCCAGCGACAGAGTAGGCCGCGCCCTCGGGAGCAGGGGATGGGGGCTCGGACGGAGTGAGCAGGAAGATCTTGGCTGTAGTCTGAAAGCTGCGGAAGTGCTTTTAGCATAAAAAAGACCGGTTGAGATTTGTCACTGCTCTGTGGGTCCCAAGCCTGCACCAAGTGCTTTGCAGGCCTTGGCTTATTTAAAGTAACAACCCTGCGCTGTGGGCGCTATTGTGATCTCCATTATGCCCCTAAAGAAACAGGCTCAAAGAAATACAGCCACTGGCCCGGGACCACACAGCTTGAGAACGACTCCTATTTTGAGGCGGTGAAGCATCAACAGGGCGCTACAACTTATAGAATGAGGTGAGAGAGTCGGGGAGGGGAGCCTTCTTTAAGAAAAGGAATACAGCCCTGGCCGGTTTGGCTCAGCGGCTAGAGCGTCGGCCTGCGGTCCAGAGAGACCCCGGTTCGATTCCCGCTAAGGGCACGTACCTCGGTTGCAGTTTGTCCCTGGCCCTGGTTGGGTTGTGCGGGTGGCAGCCACTGGATGAGTTCCTTTCGCATGATGTCCCCACCCCCACACACTCCATCTGAACAAAAAATGGAAAAATGTCCTCCAGTGAGGATAAAGAAAAAAAGAAAAGGAATACAAAATCACAAACACAAAATGTAAACATGAAAATTTACTTTGAACATGAAATAACAAATTACATTTTAAAGAGCTGCCCTTGCCGTGTGGCTCGGTTGGTTGGAGCGTTGTCCCATGCCTGAAAAGTAGCAGGTTCCTTACCCGATGGGGGCACATACCCAGGTTGCAGGTTCGATTCCCGATCTCCAAGGGGCAACCAATGGATGGTTCTCTCTCACATCAGCGTTTCTCTCCCCCTTCCTCTTTCCAGAATCAATTTTTTTAAAGGAGCTGACAAGTGCTGCACACATTGCAAAATCCCAAAAGATGATAACGTAATGTTTTTATTAATTTACTGCCTGACACACCTCTGTGATGTTTCCTACTTCATATACTTATTTCACAATACCCTTATCTCCAGAGAGAAAGGTAAATTTTCCTTCCTCTAGCATGCTTGATGGAACTTATTTTAGTCATTAGAAATTTTTTAAGTTTCAGCTTCACGTCAGTATTGTTGATGTTATCTAAATTTGGGGGAAATCTGTGAAAATTTTCATGAAGTTTAACTCATGTAAGCTGGAAATTCTGGGAAATGTTTCCACAAACCAGCTTCTGGCTCAGTCCTTTTGATTCTTGACTCATCTCCCTTGTGCAGGTGCTTTTGGAGTGAGCCACTTAGAGGACACTTCATGCCACAATAGACGGGCTTTGCACCTAGTGAGTTAGCACCTTTGGACAATAGGAGCATTCCCGGAATCCATTCCTACACCACCACAACTAGGTAGGTGATTTAAGTGTAGCTGAAAGTGTCCATGAGCCCCATCAAAATAACCCACAAAACCCAACCTAAGAGTCCTCAACTCGCATTCCCATCAGCTAGGTCCCATAAATGCCTGAGACTACTCCAGCACCACCATGATAAAGAGAAGTGCCATGGGGGGAAAGGAACTCAAAAAAGACAGTGGTCATAACCAATTGCATTTTAAATATCCTCCTTTAAACATCATCAGACCATAAGAACACATCTGTAGGGCCTTGGAAAGGCCTATGCAAATCATGGGCCCTGAAGCTTACATGAGCATTACTATAAACCCACCCTGAACACCAGTCGTTATGCGTTTATTGAGGGACCAGTGTGTGCCAGAGGCTAGTACCAGAAATCCTGCCCTAAGGCAAAGTAACCAGTTCTGACATTGCCACCAACTGGTTGTGGGGCCCTCTTTCCTCTCTGGGTATGAGTTTTCCCACCCGCGAATTGAGTATTGCTAAAAGACTGACATGTAGGGTTGTGATGAGGCCTAGATATAAAAGTCACAGAACCATCCAGTTAAGAACTTGAGCTTTGCAGGCAGAGAGACCCAGAACAGAACCCAGTGCTTCCTCTTACCAGCAGGGGTAACTCTCACCAATCATTGCTTTTTCTGTGAGCTTCACTTTCTCAATCTATAAATAGAGTTCAATTCATTCATTCATTCCTCTAACATTACTGAGCACCTGCTATGTTCTAGGAACTTTCCAGGGTGCTGGGGATAAGGATATCAGTGAACAAACAGAAAAAGGTCATGACCTGGTGAAAGGGAAACAAACCATAAAATATTAATAAATAAATGTCAGTTGGGGATACGTGTTGTGGAGAAAATAAAGCAGAATAATGGAGACAGTGTGGTCAGAGAAGGTGTCTCAGAGAAGCTGACTTAGAGCAAAGCCTGAGGTGAGTGAAGGAGCCAGCCCCGTGGGTACAGGGGTAGAGCATTCTAGGAAAAGGAAACAGTCATTGCAAAGGCCATGAGGTGGGAACATGCTGATGCTTTTCTATATCTTCACCCGAAGACATTTTTCCATTTTTGTTCAGATAGAATGGGAGGGAGAGAGAGAAAAACATGGATGTGAAAGGGACACATAGAGTGGCTGCCTCCCGCACGACCCCAACCAGGGTCGGGGTCGAATCGAAAACGAGGTACGTACCCTTGACCAGAATCGAACCTGCAACTCATCGGTCCGCGATCCAACGCTGTAACGCTGAGCCAAACCAGCCAGGGCCATGCTGATGAACTTAAAGGATAGTGAGGCCCTGGCCTGTGTGGCTCAGTGGTTGAGCATTGACCACGCACCAAGAAGTTACCAGTTCAGTTCCGGGTCAGGGCACATGCCCAGATTGTAGGCCTGATCCATAGTGGGGGGCATGGAAGAGGCAGCCAATCAATGTTTCTGTCTCTCTCTCTGTCCCTCTCCCTTCCTCTCTCTCTAAAAAAAAAAAAAAAAAAATCAATAAAGAAAAAATTTTTTAAAAATGAAAATAAATAAATAAAGGACAATGAGGAGGTCAATACTGAGTGAATGGAAGTATGTAGAAGGTGTCTGGGAAGGAGTCAGAAGCCGAGTCATGGAGGGTCTTGTAGGCCATTGTGAATGATATCTTCCGGTTTTACTCTGAATGAGATGGGACCCCCTGAATGTGGAGGCAGCAGGAACATAGCTTTACTCATGTCTTAAGACTTAAGTGGTCCGGCTGAAGGTACTAAGAATAGGCTGTTAGTCCTGGCCAGTTTGGCTCAGCAGTTAGAGCATCAGCCACAGACCGAGGGGTCACGGGTTCCATTCCTGGTCAAGGGCACGTACCTGGGTTTTGGGTTTGATCCCCAGCCCCAATTAGGGTCATGCAGGAGGCAACCAATCAATGTGTCTCCCTCACATTGATGTTTCTCTCTCTCTCTCTTCCTTCCTCTCTTCCATTCTATCTAAAAATCACTGGAAAAATATCCTCGGGAGAGGATTAAGAACAACAACAAAAAAGAATAGGTTGTTAATGCCTGGCCCATGTGGCTCAGTTGGTTGAGTGTCATTCTGTGTACCAAGAGGTTGCTGGTTCAATTCCTGGTCAGGGCACACGCCACATGCCCCAGTTTCCAGCTTGATACCCCGTAGGGGGCGTGCAGGAAGCAATCAGTAGATGTTTCTCTCTCTCCTTTTCCCGTCCTCTCTCTCTAAAATCAATAAAAACATGTTTAAAAAATGAAAAGAAAAAAAAAGGAATAGGCCCTGGCCAGCATGATTCAGTGGTTAGAGCATCAGCCCATGGACCAAAGGGTCTTGGGTTTGATTCCCAATCAAGGGCATGTACCTGGGTTGCGTGTTCAATCCTCAGCCCTGGTCAGGGCATATGCAGGAGGCAACCAATTGACATGTCTCTCTCACATTGATGTTTCTTTCTCTCTCTCTCTGTCTCTCTCTGTCTCTCTCCCCCTCCCTTCCACTCTCTAAAAATCAATGGAAAAATATCCTTCAGCGAGGATAAAAAATTATTTAAAGGCTGTTAAAATAATTGAAATGAGATAACATTTTGGCAATTCCTCAAAAAGTTAAACATAGAATTACCATATGACCCAGCGATTCCACTCCTAGTTTTACACCCAAGAGAAATGAAAACTCATATTTAAACAAATACTTGCATATAGTCATAACAACACCATTCAGAATTGTCAAAAGGTGGCAACAACCCAAATGTCTATTAATGGATGAATGGATAAACAAAATGTGGTATAGCCAAGCAATAGAATATTATTCAGCCATCAAAAAAAAACCCATAAAGTTCTGATCTAGGCTACAATATAGATGAACCTTGAAAACATTAAGTGAAGGAAGCCAGACACAAAAGGTCACGTATTGTATGATTCCTCTCATATGAAATGTCCAAAGTAGGCAAATCCACAGAGGAAACAGAGCAGACTGGTGGTTCCAGGGACTGGGAGGTGGAAGTAAGAATGGGGAGTCACTGTTGAGTGGCTGTGAGCTCTCCTTTGGGGATGATGAAAATGTTTTGAAATTAAATAGAGTTGATGCTTTCACAACACTGCAAATGTACTAAATGTCTCTGGCTTGTGCCCTTTAAAATGGTTAATTTTATATGTGGCTTTCACCTCAATAAAAAAGTGTAACCAAAAGGTTAAAAAACAATTCGAATGAGAAATGATGGTGGATTTTACGAGGGTGGTAGCAGTGGGGGTGGTGGGAGGTGGTTAGAACCTGCATATGTTCTGAAGGTAGAGCTAACAGGATTTGCTGATCGATTGTGTGTTAGGAGGGAGAAGTG